ATGATTTGTTATATATCATGATTTGTTATATATCATGATTTGCTCTAGATTAGTTGTTGCTCTATATTAATTATTTGCTTTGTATTGATCATTTGCTATATATTGTGATTTTGCTATATATCAGTATGATTGTTATATTATAATTTGCTATGTACAATAATTTTCTTGTGAATTATTTATATATTATGATTTATATATTATGACTATTATATATTTTGATTTGTTTATATTTTAAAATTATTCTATATTATGAATATATTATAATATAAATATTTAGTCTATCTTACGCTTGCTCTATTTTATTATTGATGTATATTATAACTTGCTATATATTTTGAGTGCGGAATTTGCACCAAACTTAATTTTAGAATACTTTTTCTTTTACTCTTCGCATGTAGTTCGTTAGTTGTATTTTCAGTTGACCGGTGTTGACCAATTATCTAAGAATACAACCGTCTTTCAAAAAGATCAGGTAGTTATCGCTTTTGTTATGTCATACTTTTATTTCTTTGTTCCTTTTTTTCTTTTCCTTTCTTTTCGTGTTCTACTCATCCAAATACTCTTCTCCATTTTACTTTTCTTTTGTTCCATTTTCTTTTACCTCTGAATTTCAAAATATGTGCTTTGTGTACGGCGTAATTCCCCCCCCCCCCCCCCCAATTCCCCAAAAGTTAATCGGGATTTTAATTTTTAATAAATCTTGGGGTTATAGTACACGCCCCTTAAAATAATCAAAGCATCGTTCTTTGAATCCCACAGCCACGCTCATAGATTCTTCCACTTCAAACCGATCAAGCCTGAATGTGTAGCTCCAATGAATACAAGGTACGTCAATAACGTTGTGTGTATCCTTAGTAAATTATGCTGATAAAATTGCGTTATTTTCTCTATAACAGTTGGCATCAGAATTCACATCAACAATGGTCTACAACGAGGTACGACCCCACCGAAAAAATCCAGGTAAGAAATGACATTTGGCGAAGGAGTTATTTTCTTCATGTGGCTACTTTCATTCCTTCCTTCCTTTTCTCTTTTTTTTTTCTTCTTGTTGTGTGTTCGCTATTAATTATGTTCTTTCGTTCTCCATTATCATATCTTTATACTACTTCCCTTTTCTCTATTACCTTCATTTTTTCCAAACTGCGTTTTGTGAAGGGCGACTAACCCAAGGGCGAATATTGTATCGAGAAGCCTTTTTTCAAACTGGCGATTTTTCTGTCTTTCCGTTTATTCCTACTCCTTATTCCTCATTTATTTTTTTCTTGCTATAACGTTACTTTTTCTTTTCTTTCTTTCTTTTTTTTTCTTTCTCTCCACTTCTTTTAAGCAATTTCATTTTATATCTTGAACAATATGTGAATCGGCATTCCTTTTCAAACTTCGTTCTTTCTATCCTTTTATTCCTTTCTTTGTTTTGCACTCCTTTCTTATTTCCTTCCCTTAAATATATTTCAGAGTAACACGGCAGAGACAGAGAAGATCGACCATTCAAGTCCTTATCCTTAAAGCTTGAGGCATCCAAGATGTATTGCAACTGAGACAATAGGCTTATAGATTGAATACCAACATCACTAAGGGGTTGTTCATCTTTGTACGTACTTGGTCCAATGTCTTGTCCCATCCACCGATGACCGTCCAGTCTACAGTATGTACGTGGTTAAACCGGTCTGTATCACTTTATTTTTTTCTGGGCATAAGGAGACTTGCCATCTGAGCGGTTATCTAAAACTATCAAATGATTTTGGCCATAATTAACAGTTCGGGAGGTGATCGTGACAAAAAATTCAAGGTAAGGCCCCCGTGGTTATTTATTAATATTGGCAATAGACCCTTGGTTACTAGAGTATGGTATTGCGGCTTTTTCGGTCTTTTCTTTCAATATTTTAGGCATTTTTTATTAATTTGGCTTCGACTTTCGATGACATTCAGCTACATTCGGACTAGGTTTGATTCGATATGATGCGACTGTTTTATCGGCTTTTTTTAAGGCTTTTTTCCGGATATTTCCATTCTAGGATTTTAGGTTTTTACTTAAGTTCTTCGGATGCTTACCTTTTCTTCAATAGGGCTTTTTTGGTTTTCATTTCGGCTTCACTAGGCATGTGTTTTTTTGGGTTTTAGACAGTTTAGAATGGTTATAATCAGGCAGTTGCTAGTTCCCCTTGGCTTGGTGGCTACTGGGTTTTTTAGGGTTAAGGTCTTAGACAGGCAGACAGTTGCAAACAAAGAAATGACAAAATAAAGAAACAAATAAAGCTTTGCGATTGCGCGTGCGACGAGTGAGTGTGCGCCTTTGAATGTGTGAGTCGGTTAGTTGTGGAGTAACCCCTACCTTGCCGCTGTTAGTTGGTACCGCTAGTATTAGCTAATGACGATGATCCCCTGAAAACTTAGTGTTTGGTTCTTAAGGCAGTCTACATGACCTTGCCTGTATTCTACTAAGGCTTGTGATTTGTCGGCTTCACAACACCCCAATTGGACACCCCTCTGTTGGTTTATACAGAGTGGGAAAATCCGCTACGATGAACGGTAGCCTCCACGTGGCGTAGCGGGGAAGTAATTGCCATGGAAACCAGTAAACGTTCATTGATTGGTTCTTTCATCAGTTTATTTTTTTTAGAAATTTTGTTGAAACTCTTCATCAAGTGTAGAAAATCAGACTAATATCAAGTGATAACAAAATTTATTCGCGAGCAAAAGTTGGCGAGTTTTACTGGTACATACATAGCAATTATTACGAATAACCGTTCAACTTAGAACAATAAAATACTATTCTCKACTTTCACATCCCCATAATGCCTTGCGTTTTTGGGGGGTAACCAATCAAAAAAACTGTCCCAAATTGAAAGATTTTTTAATTGAATTTATACTATACCTGCTTTTATCTGTACAATACTGATTATCAGTTTATTCCAAGTTATTTTTGCGTGTACAGATCATGAAGAGTTTTGGACTTACGAAAAATTGTTTAAAATTTACCTTAAACGTCTTCAAGCTTCTATCTTTTTCTGTTTTTTTACTTCTTCATTTTATCTATGGATACCAAACAAAGTATTTTCAACATTGTCTGAYCAGCCTTCAGCAAAATAAGTGGGTTTTTACCCTATGGTTACCCCCCAAAGACGCAAAGGATTATGGGGACGTGAAAGTCGAGAATTCCGTTCTATTAACGTTCTTCCCACACCATTGAAAATACAGGAATGAGAATGCAGGAAGACCGACGCATTAATTTTCGGTGGTACTCAACTGTTCCTTCCCATCAGGCATTGCGGCCTAGATATATTTTCAGTAGTGTGGGATACAATAGTTATTCAATGCTTTCTCGTGACATACCATGGAATGTCCCACTCGTTTGCATTTAATGTAATTTTTTTAATAAAGACAAAGTTCGTGTGAAGGTTTGTGTGTATTGAGGCTTTTCGCCATCACGTGATGGCAGCCATGACAGGAGGCAGGAACAGTTGAATCTAATCTAATCTGATTTAGATGAGAAAAGATTCTGTTTCCCAGGGTTGAAAGATTCTATTGTTGTGCCTCCTGTCATGGCTGCCATCACGTGATGGTGCAAAGCCTCTGTTCTAGAAAATAGTAGTATATACGAAGGTACGTATGCCACTCAGAACTCTGATATCTCTTTTATATGCGTATCATAGATTTTACCTACTAATAGACCTCTTTACCTTGGTCGTAATTTTTCCCCACTTCAGACCACGTGTCATTCCCTTGAGAATAAGATTCTTTGTCGTTTGAGTCGTATCCATATCTTCTCATGTGCAACCGCTAAATAAATGATATCTAGGGAATGACACATGGTCTGAACTGATGTGGAAAAATTATGCCCAATACAAAAGTAGAGAGGTCTATTCTTAGTCTTTAGACCATTCTTTTTTTTTTTTTTTTTTCCCCCTCAGTAAATGATATATTTAGCACCTGTGGATGAACGCATCACCAGAAATTTAATAATTTACTTTAAAAAGTTGCACCTATACTTTATGCTTAATATTATTTTAAACCGTGCTTTAACAAACACATTTAGTATGCACTACTGAGACAACCTAAAAATTGTTTAGCACAAAGAGTAATCAAATGTGGGAAATAGAGTACTCAAGTGATCAAGTCATAAGAATTAATTTTCGCTGTATCATCAGTTACAGTCAAACAAGCTCACGCGTTGACCCCTAGAGTCGATTAATGATTTGAATTTTCGAATTTTGATTTCATTATTCAGTTGAAATCTACAACGTCGAAAACGAAGATATGAAAATTCCAATCAACTTTAAATTCAATATACGACATTTTGATTGGTTAATCAGTGCTAACACAGCCGGAAGACCAAGAAAACATTGCGGCCAAAAATAGTCTTGGCCGTGTTTATGTGCCGGGAAAGCCTTTACCTGATATTATTCGACAGGAAATTGTTCATCTCAGCAATAGCGGCTTGTCCAATAAAGCAATTTCGTGACAACTGAAAATTTCTAGTTGGGGAGTCCAGAAAATACTTCAACATTATCGACGACATGGAACTGTGTCTCCATTTCGCTCAAGATGGGAGCGTTCCCTACAAAATTACTGATATCCTCCATGGAAATTACAAAACCTAGTKTGTATGCTTATGAAATAAGAGAAAGACTTCTGCTCGAAGGTATCTGTAATTTAGATGATTTACCTTCTTCATCACGAGTCGAATAATGAACTGAATTTTCATTTGAATATTGCAATATTGCATTACTCCGGTTCGTACGTATAAAAGGAATAATTGACTAATGATTTCATTAATCGAATCTAGGGGTCAACGCGTGAGCTTGTTTGACTGTAATTGGTTCCCAATTTCGATAGGCAATCAAGAAAGACGTTTACAAAATAGCAGCAGAGATATGGCCATTTGAATATATAATTTCCCCTTAAATTACTGTTTGTTTGGGTTTAGTTCATAAAATTATAAACTAAGCCGAAAATACAGTGATTTGTATGGAATATCACAGCCCGTGGTTATGGTAGGGAATTTCCCTTATTCACTATTCAGAACTAACAAATTCAATAACTCAATTCAAATTAAAAATAATAAAGGCCATGTCTTATTCGTCTACCATATGCCTTTTAAAATGACAAAACAGAAGAAGACAACAAAAAAAAACACAAAAAAACGAACTAACAAAATCATCAGGAGCCGGTTGCACGAAGAGTGGATACCACTATCCGATGGATAAATCCTTATCAAGTGATGCTGTTATAAAACAAATTTATCCACTGGATAAGGATTTATCCAGTATACAACCGGACCCAGACATTTCAATGACTTTTCCTCTGACCTTGAAAGGTTTTCAGCGTAAGCGTCGTTTGAGATAGGCCCATGGTACTTCTAGCACTCCTATTGCCATTTGTAGTCCTAATACTAATAGTAGTCCTGCTACTGCTACTGCTATTGCTGGAAATACTCCTATTACTGAAAAAGCCCATAAAAAGGCTATACCACCAGCGTTTGTTGTTAACCGGCTTCGTTCTGCTCCTAATACCGTGCCACCGAAAAAAGCAGCTACCCCGGCAGCACTTTGATCGCTCCAATTCGTATCATATCGACACCAGCGAGCAAACGTTTCGCAGTTGTTCCATATTAAATTATAGCCTACTTCTCCAACGTTGCTTCGAGCTCTTTCAGTGGTTTCTTGAGTCGTAAGCGGATTAGCCATTGCCCAGTATGATTCAGCGTAAACTCTGGTGTTATTATCGATGTAGTCGTGACACTTATCTATTCTCCCTTCTGCTACTTGAGAACTCCGGCACAACAAAGAGGCCGTTGACATGCCATCGACGACATCACTGGTTTGATTATGGCCCTCTCGTGGACTAAGGTGGACCATTTCTCCATTGCCGACATTAACAGCATAGTGTTTGTAACCCGCTTGTCTTTGGAAAACAATCAAGTCTCCAGGTTATCCTGGACATGAATGAGACATCTTGAAACTTGTGTAATGATAAATTGAAGAGATAACTAGCTAAAAACTAGTGTGAGCTGCGTCGGTGTTTCTAATGAAACAGTAATGATAAAAGGGTAAATTATACACCGTGAAAAAAGGAAAAGAGAAAGAGGTGGTAGAAAGGAGTGTTTATATGATGAGAATAAGACAAAAGAAACCAACGAGAGCAAGGTAGGCAAGGAAACAAAAACAAACAATCAAAAGACAATGACAAATTGGTTTAGCTGAGGACGAGTTGTTTCGTTCCTAAATTTCGATATGACGTCGTTACTTCACGTGTAGCGAAGCCGATGAGTTCCTTCAGTAAAGAGACTTGCTGTTGTTCTCTGCTCTACACGATTACAAATAAATAAAATAAAATAATGCGCAAATAAAATAAAGCTTTGCGTTTGCACACTAACAGCAGTGTGTGCGGCTGCGAGTGTGTGAGTCGGTTGGCTGTGGAGTAAGCACTACTTTGCCGCTGTTAGTTGGTAACGCTATTATTAGCTTGCATGTAAATTCTACTAAGGCTTGTGATTTGTCGGCTTCACAACACCCCAATTGGACACCCCTCTGTTGGTT